AAAAAAAAAAAGGCTTGGTGCCTATGGCTTAAGCACCTAAGGCGCCAGCCACATACACCTGAGCTGGCGGGTTTGAATCCAGCCCTGGCCCACCAAACAACAATGATGGCTGCAACCAAAAAATAGCCGGGCTTTGTGGCGAGCGCCTGTAGTCCCTGGTACTTGGGAGGCTGAGGCAGGAGAATTGCTTGAGCCTAAGAGTTGGAGGTTGCTGTGAGCTGTGATGCCACAGCGCTCTACCCGGGGCAACAGCTTGAGGCTCTGTCTCAAAAAAAAAATCCTCCACATTGAAAGGGTGGGTGGGGCGGTGCCTGTGGCTCAAGGAGTAGGGCACTGGCCCCATATGCTGGAGGTGGTGGGTTCAGACCCAGCCCCGGCCAAAAACTGAAAAAACTGAAAGGGTGGGTGTGTCCTTGTTTTAAGGGATACTGGGAAGGCTGATTGGTGGGGAGCCCATGTTTCCTTTTAGGAAGCAGAGAACCTCAAAGGAATGAAGTGGGTGATGTTGGCTACTAAAGGAAAGGAAAACAAGTCCTTGGGATTCACCAAATGGAACAAATAAAAACAGAAAGATTCCCTTCTGAGAGCACCCTGGTTCTATACATGGTTTCTTTCACTGCTAGTTACTGTGGAGAAGCAGGAAGTGATACAATTACTATACATGGGTAAATTACAAAATCATAATAATGGTCCTTGGTTTGTGGTTTCTCAGATACCCTGATTGGATAATTGTTGGAAGGCAATGCACCTAATTATTATTTTTTTATTATTATTTTGAGACAGTCTCACTCTGTTGCCCCAAGCTAGAGTGCTTTGGGATGAGTCTGCTTCACAGCCACCTCAATGTCTTGGGCTCAAATGATCCTCCTGCCTCAGCCTCCTGAGTAGCTAGGACTACAGGCATTCACCACTCCTGAGGCCTGGCTAATTTTTCTATTTTTAGTAGCGATAGGGACTCACTCTTGCTCAGGCTAGTTCTCAAACTTCTGAGCTCAAGTGATACTCTTGCCTCAGCCTCCCAGAGTGCTAGGATTACAGGTGTAAGCCACTGTGCCCAGCTACATGTACTTTTTTGGCAGTTTTTGGCCGGGGTCAGGTTTGAACCCACCATCTCCGGTATATGGGGCCAGCGATCTACTCCTTTGAGCTACAGGCACCGCCCATGTTTTTTTTTTTTTTAATTGAGACAGAGTCTCACTATGTGTGTGGCCCTTGGTAGAATGCTGTGGCATCATAGCTCACAGCAACCTCAAACTCCTGGGCTTAAGCGATTCTTTTGCCTCAGCCTCCCAAGTAGCTGGGATTACAGGCGCCTGCCACGCGACGCCCAGCTCTTTTTTTTGTTGCAGTTGTCATTGTTTAGCAAGACCAGGCCAGGTTCAAACCCACCAACCCCCCTGTGCACATAGCTGGCACCCTAACCACTGAACTACAGGCGCCAAGCCTACATGTACTTCTTAAATGTTCTCCCAAACAATGGTGATGCCAGGAAGGGAACAGAATTGGAGAAAAAGGCAATGAGTTATTGTTATTTGGATTTGTCAATCTTGAGATGTCTGTAGGATGAATTTCAGTTGGTAGTGTGATTCTGGAGATATCTGAAAACTGTAGCTGTGCTAGGAACAGTCCCTTTACAGTTCACAAAGAACTTTGTGTTTTCTATTTTGATATGATCACAAATCTATGAGGTTGGGAGGGAAAGGGCTATTCCCATTTTCCCACATGGACCTCTACCCCCAGGAAAATAAAACCAACAAAATAAACTCTGAGCCTCTCTGCCAGAGATGCCATCTTCCAGTAATTCACCAAAGTAATGAATACAAAGGGGAAGAGGAGAGGCACCCAACCCAGTACATGTTCTCTAGGCCTTTTAGAAAACATGGGGTTGTGGCAAAACTGGGACAGTCTACAGTGTTACCCAGCATGTAGTCAGCATTACTGTAAACAAACAAATTAAGAGCAAGATTCTTGCCAAGAGGATTAATGTGCATATTGAGCATATTAAACACTCTAAAAGCCAAGATAGCTTCCTGAAATCTGTAAAGGAAAATGATCAGAAAAAGAAGGAAGCCAGGCT